TTCAGGTAGCTTGGGTCTCTAGGCTCTGGGAAATCATTCACTGTCATATCTTACTATTTGGGGGCGGGGGGAGTGGTGAGTAGGGGAGTGAATGTCTCCACCTTTTCCTGATCTCTTTTCTCCAACTAATCCTGATTCAAAGGATTGACTGTTCTCAGTTGGGTCCTTTCTCTGAACAAGATTTTTTTCTCTTGGGTTAGTCATAACTGGGGGAACTTTTTCTCAGGGCTTCTGGTTGCCACTAAATTCTGTCTCTGGAGGCAACTGAGCTAAGGAATTTCTTTGCCCACCTACTTCGAGCCTCATTTCAGCCTCTGCCTTCAGTGAGTGCTTAGAAACATCTTTGATGCCCTTTGTATATATTCGTTGATTTTATCACTAATTCAAGCCTTATGACAAAATCTAGAGTAGGAAACAGGACTGTTAGGTATTGTAAACTTAACTTCTCACATGGGCTGGATTTGGGAAGCAATGCTGAGTAACGGAATGGGCTTAAGGTCCACATTAATGCTCTGCCATTCAACTGTGCCATGTAACCTTGAGATCATGAAGTAACCTCCCTGAGCCTCAGCTTCATCATCTGAATACTCTTCAAGGTGCTTGTGAGGATGAATAGCAATGTGCTTAGTATTGCATTTGGCTTGTCATTGGTGCTTGGTGAAACGGAGCCCCTTTCTTCCAGCATCTCTAGAGCATCAGAACTCCATTCCGGTTTCAGACAAATACCATATGTTTTGAAGCTTGTGTTTTTGCTCCCACGGACTCTACCCTTCTTATCTTAGCCTTCTACTTCATTGTGACGCAGAATGCTGTTCCAACTATTATGCCTCTCTTGGGGCAACCAGCAACGACACTGTTCACTCCTTTGTGCCAAGTTAAACAGACTTGCTTTGGGGATGACAGACTATCCTGTAACTGGGAAAAGCAATTAGTTCTGTTCTTCACTATCACAGAAGGAGCCATGAGAATGAATGCAATCAGATTAAGTTGAATCATATGAAATCACCTTTTGTAGGTCAAATGTGGTTCAAATGCAGTTTCACATGTTTCAGCCTTATAGTTTGATAGGCCTTTTAATCTAATAGTAGATGGTCACTGGTAAATGTCATTTGCAAATTTCCATGGTCAATGATGTAAAGCAGCTCTTTGGTCAGCAGGGCAGGCTTGGATTACATGAGGCAATGAGTATAAAAGTGCTGTATAGGCCATGAACACTAGTTAAATGCAAAGTATTTCCTGAATTAATTGTGGACACATAATATTTTAACCCGGGGTTGATAAACTTTTTAAAAATTTAGATAAATTTCAGTAACTGCATTTTTAACATGAAGTTTCACAAGAGAAAAAAGTCTGTTCTTGGTGTGCTATATGCTCATTGCTCTAGATATGTTCAACTGGAATATACCCAGAGGAATACACATCCAGGTGAGGGCTGAGAGGAAGGACCATCCAGATACAAAATAAAGTAGAGCTTCTTGGGGCTTGGTTTCATTGAATAGCTCATACAAAGCTTGGTCCCAGGAGAGTAAATAATTCCATTGTCAGCTGTTAATCCATTTAGCCAAAAATTAGACAAATGTGCAAAATCTGTTCCATTCCTCCCAGGAACCCAGGGTTAATTCTAAGCTACCGTGGCTAACTCCTGGTATGGATGTGAAGGGCCCAAATGACAAGAAAGTTTGCATCCCTCCCAACTCATCACAACACAAGTGCATACTATTCATTCTACTCTCATATAGTTAGGTTCTTAGGGCGATCATCTCTATCTAACTTCTGGGAAAGGTGACTTAGCCATGTTTTAATCCGCAGATTGAGGATGTCATTCAACATGTAGTCCCCAAACAAAGCTAATCTCTATTACGGAAGCCATTTGGTGCATGAATCGACTTTGAAACCAATAACTGACTGCTACTTTTGGCATAAACAAAAAACTTAAGTAGTGTGCCCGTGCCCTATGGACAAGTTCATTTATTTTTGTTCAATGTGCGCTTTCATAACAAGCTGAGCTTGGCTCATGTGAGCAGCCTCTAAATTGTTTATTTACCTCCGTGTTCTCCATTCTTCAAGATAACACCAAATTGTTTACAGGGCAAAGCGGGAAATCCAGGACTTGTTAATGAGGCAGAAGGCCAGGTTCAGTGGGGGAGTGAGCACAGCCAGAACAACAGGGTTTAGTCATCCCCATTTGTGGGGAATCATCAAATCAACAACAGGGAGGAGCCTTGTCTTCACCAAGCTGGGAGGATCATCTTGCTGAGGAATATCACTCCTGCCAGCCGCTGCACCTTCCTTGCCAGCAGCAGCCATTGGTGGGAAGACTGCTTTGTTTATTGCTTAATCTATCACTATTGAGCTGCCTGCCTTAGGGAGGCTCAATTTAAGATAGATTGAAAGGTAGTGTCTGTCAATTGAATAAACACAGATGGTTTTCCACAGAAAAAAATTGATTTTTTTCCTTGCCAACGACATAAGCGCTAAATGTGATTATCTTTGGAAGCCAGGCGTGAAATGTCTTAGTTCCAAGCCTCTGCCACACTCCACCCTAGAAGAGAGGTGATATTACATGAGAGTGTGGGTCTATCTCACTGTTAATTTAAGTTCTTGAGGTGAAATAAAAATTTGACTTCCCTAGAGAAGTGTCTGATTAAGTCCACCCCAATTAGCTTTGAGTCAATCCAGCAGTTGATTCATACAATAGTTTTACCAGTCTTAGGTCACTGGCTGGCAAAGGCCTCCTCCAACCCTTTAAGTCTCAAAGAGGTTATAGGATTGCCTAAAGACACACAGCTAAATGTAGACTTCATTCTCCTCACTGTTTGGCCAAAAGCTGGGGAGGAGACCAGACACAATCCATGCCATGAGAGTAAGTAACTAAGGGAGACATTAAGGTAAGTCGTACTTCCAAAATGTCTTTGGAAGCAGGTAGATCAAAGATGCTTGAACAAGTTATGCTAGGTACCCAGAATGCTACATATACCTCCTTAACAACTACCTAGGAATGAAGTCACTTACACTCAAAAGTTTTGAAGAAAGCCAAGGGTAAAATTGTAGAATAGTGGTTCAAGATAGCAAGCACATGGATATAGAAGGGTGAATAGGAAGAGTACCCTTTGTATAATGAGGAGACTGAGCAATTTGTTTTCTTATGTCTCATTCAGCTCTAATTCTAAAACATAACAAGCTAATGGGACATCATTCATACAAATCATTCCAAAAAGTCCCTGAAAGTTATAAAACAGTGAGTCTCCTTTCATTTCATGAATGTGAACATGAATGTGGCGTGGCAGTTCAAGGATTTGCCAAGAGAAGTCGTTGCAAGGGTAGCAGAAGTGGGGAAACTGTGAGCATGTGGGTTCCATAAATGCTTTAGACACAGAACTAGAAATAATGTTGAGACTCAGAGGCTTTTAGCAGTAGAAGGGAACTTAACACTGTCCTCTCATTCTAGGGATGAAAAAATGAGTCTAGAGAAGGGATATTGATAGCTAAGGTCATTTAGCTAGAGACAAAATTGGAATGTCAAGCTAAAAATCTTGGTCCTTTCAGCTATACTACCTGTCTTGATTTTGAAATTGTTCAATGTAATTGTGGACTACCAGAAAAGCAGGCATGTCCAGTATAAAAGTTCATGCAGCAAACAGAAGTGAAGCAGTTTTACTCCAGCTAATATAACTGTAAACACACATCTTTGCAACTGTCTTGGTCCTAACTTCTAAAGATCCACAGACAGTGAGGGCTTCCTTGTATCAAGAGACAAAAATCTTTTAAAATGTGTCATGTGCAAAAGAGAGCTGATTGTTCTATCTCACCTGGATGGAGAAAACTAGAACTAAAATGATCTTGGGATGCAAGGGATATACATTAGGGCACATTTGCAGAATTTGGATTTATCATTAGCATGTTTGCAATCTGTCAAAATGGCCTGTCCTTGAATAAAAACAATAAAACAAAACAAAAACAAAAAAACAAAAATAAAACTTGATTCGGGTTTCTAGAGTAAGATGGTCAAATCATTTTACTCACTTAGAAAAAGAGAAATATTTAAAGCCACTATTTTTATGCACATGGGCTGTTTTGTGAATACTCTTAAGTAGAAACAATATATCTAATGTAGCTGTTTTTAATCAGTTCTTAAAGAGAAGTTCTCTGTAACTTTGTTGTACATATTCAGGTAGAAATAAATATTACTGAACTTGTATTAATTTCTTCCCACAGACTACAGGTGAATCACTTGTTAAATGTAAACATGTTTCTACTTTCACTCAGATATGATCCTTTTTTCTCCTATGAAGCTACTGCTTCGATATAATCTAGGTAAGTACATTTGACTGAAAATCCTATATACCAAAAATAAACACTATAGTTTATGCACTTATAATATTTGGTGAATTGATAGCATGATCAATTCCTCCCACCCCAAAAGGATTTCTCTTCTATAGTAGAACTGATTATAATTGGGCAACCACAAAAAGAACTTCCATCAACTTAGAATTCGGAATGTGAGATATTACTCCACAGTCACACATGGATCTTTACATATGTGTCTATGTGTTTGGTTGTGTTTTTGCCTTAAGTATTTCTCCTATGTCCTCAGTGATGTCCAACACTTAGATTTGTCTCGAACCGGTTTCTAGTGTTATCAATTTGGGAACTGTCCTTCATATATGGAACTCTTTCATAGGGCCAACTTTTCATATTAGTTTCAAAAATTTTTTTCTTGCTTTGTGATTATAAATATTCCTGAAATATGACTCAAATCATAGTTTTAAAGCACTAGCTCCTGCTTAAAGAAATGACAAAGTGAAGTCTTCCATGGAGTGGACATTCAATGTATAATTTCTCTGCTATATAAATTTGGTTCTTCATATAGTTTCTATGACTTAATTGGCCACACCGGCATATCAGGGTTTGATGCTTAAAATAATAATTTTCTATTTGGTATCTTTTCTTAAAAAAGTAAAGTTTTCTCTACATCAGAGGAAGTATTCACAAATTAAAATGGAAAAGGTATACCTTGATGGGCCTTTCAAACATAACAGAGATCCATTTAGGCCTCTCCCCAACCTGCCTGTATTACTCCTCAGCCTTACAAAGGGTCTTCAGAGGGTACAGAGATAACAACAGATGTGAGGGTTCTTTACCAGCCATAGAGCAAAACCAAGGGGCCCCAGCCGGGCAGGGTCAATGGTCAGTCTAGACATACCCCTCATGACAGATGTTTCCATTGATAAGACTGAAGGTGGCTGCAGAGGGGTTGGTACTCTTGAGGGAGGTCATGCAGGTGGTACTTCTGCCGGTGCTGTGAGACCGGGTTAATAGGCCAGGCTGGCAACAGAGGAGCTGGGTGTTGAACTGCTTCCTAAAACTCTTGCTCAGCAGGTAGAGGGCAAAAGGGTTGACACAGGAGTTGGTGAAGGCCAGGAGGCGGGCGCAGATACTGGTGACAAAGTGAAGCATGGAGGTGTCCACCTTGGAGTAGTGGTAGGAGCGGTACAGGTAGATGACATGGTTGGGGAGCCAGCAGAAGGCAAAGAGGCCCACAAACACTAGCACTGTCTTGGCAAGGCGCTTCCGGGATTCAATCTGAGGAGAGAGTCACACACAGAGAGGACAGAGGGACCAAGGAACAGTGTGGGAGGATTTCAGAGAAACAAAGATTCAGAGAAAAAAAAAAGACAGGGAAAAAGAATTAGGGAAAGAGACAAGCTCATAAAACCACAGAAAAAGAGTTTAATAGGAGAAAGGGGACAAGAGAGAATCAGATAAATGAGAGAAAAGCAACAGAAACAGACAGAAAAAGAAAAAAAAAGTCAGAAACACAGAAATGGAAATGCCAGGAAGCAGAAATCCATGAAGTAGAATACAGTTAGACCATGCCACTAAGAACAGATTTTTAACCAAAGTTGATTGTATGCTTGAATGGATTGCATACTGAAATTCTAGTAAATGTTCTGCTTTTTCTCAGGAGGGCATTGGTACAGTTTATCAGTCATATGACTTCATGTCTTTCTCCACAGTTAAAACCTTCTAATTCCTCTGATGCTCAAAGAAGCAATTAGCTTTGTTCTTCCTCAATGGCCAAACCAAGATACATAGCTTGATTATTATTTCATTTCTGGACTATACTATACAGAAAGGGTCTTAGATAAAATGGGCTGAGCATCTCCTTTGGCTCCCTACTCCCTCTGCTATGGCAAGGGGAAGCATCTTTCTCATTAAAGAATTTGGGATACAATATACGTTCACTATTGAGAGGTCTTTCAAGTAGGGAGACAGTTTCACTAAGAACTGTCCCCCTCCTCTTACAATTAAGGCCTCCCCCTCCCCGAGAAAGAAACTATAAAGGGTGAAGCCTCCAACTGAGTCAGCTGTACATTGAAATGAATGGGGCATCTTTATGTTTCTCCATCATTAATACATAATCTACATTTGGAGTGGGAGGCAAGAACTGACAAAGAGGAGAAAGTGAGAGCCCCTGGTTTCTACAATTCTTACCTCAAGGATGAAATTATAGGGGTTTACATGGATGGGCAAGGGAGTCTAACATATATAGAGGGCATCCTGAATTCTGGGCAGTCTAAGGTGTACATATGCTCTCTTTTGCAATCCTCCAACAGCCTTACAATATAGGGGTTATTACCCTATGCCATGCATAAAGGAATTGAAGCTCAGATAAGTCATAAAACCTGGATTTGAACCTAAATCAGTGTGAGCCTGTCTTAATCAAACTACTTCTTTTTCTTCAACAAGCCTCATCTTCCTGCCCCCTCTGCTTTTCCCCCACATAGAAATCTTCTTCCTATCCAAACAATGTGATTGGAATTTAAATAAGTCACATTCCTGTGAGCCTCAATATTTTATTTTTTTAAACGATAAAACAACACTTTTTCAGATATTTCTCAAAAAGAAACCCATACTCCAAATCCTGCGGGTTTTCAACACTTCCCTAGCTTAGGTCTTTAATAAGACAAGAAGATTATAAAGGGCACCTGAATTCTTGGGGCTTCTGTGGCTAGGAGTTTCCATTTACCATCTGGATACTTGATCACCCACCTTCTCTAATGGCAGAATCAGGTGACATGACCATGACAATACTGTACTTGTCAGTGGAGTCCAAAAGAAATGCAAGGGATCAAACCTCCAAGGAGGAAATTAATCAATCCTAAGCACCTACCTGCTTCTTGACATGTATATTCCCTTCCACAGGCAAATTGTAAGCACTCTGGATCAGATTTTTGGCAATGAAGTAGTAGTAGACAGAAATAATCGACAGTGGGATGATGTAGAAGATCAGAAAGGAAGCCATGGAGTGGATTTTGGGATGCAGCTCATTAGAGTGTGGGTATGGGGCACAGCTGATGAAGGTCTGATTGGTGCTTTCCTCATGGAAAGGATGTAGATCAGAAAACACAGCTTCTGGAATGGCCAGAAGCATGGAGATGATCCAGATCAATGCGGCTTTGAGGCAGATCTTCATCAGGGCATGAGAGGCCTGGATATCCATTGGCCGGACAATGGCTTTGTACCTGGGGCAGGAAAGAGGAAATGTTCTGTGTAAGTTGCACAATATTGTTATGGATACTAGGGCCAGGACTAGGGTGAGGCAAATGAGGCACTTGGGTGCAATATCTAAGGAGGTGCTTACTTTCAGGTTCATGCAAGTGCCCACTCAGTATACAACCCTGACAGTGAGTGGCTACTTTAATGTTGCACCCCAAGTACCTCACTCACCTTATTCTAGTCCAGGCCCTGAAAGATGCCTTCCCCTTTCTCCAGCAGTAATGTTCTGCCCACATTCTTTCTTGATTTTAAGATTAATTCTAAGGAAAGATAAAGCTTCTTTCATTTTTCTTCTTAAATTATAGGAATTAATAACAAAGCATGTTTAAAGGACACAGGGACAAGAAGGTTCACTTTTTTTTTAACAAAGCCTTCATTTTGAGTATTCAAATGCAGTGTAGGGAACCTTAAGTCATT